CGCGGACTCAGGCAATCCACTCACCTCAGCCTCCCAAAGGCGCGGGATTACAGGCTGAGCCACCGAGCCCGGCCAAGAAAATTTTCTATACGTACACCAGGAGACTTGTACAGGAATGTTTAGATTAGCACTGTTTACAATGGCAAAAAGCTGCAGGCAACCCAAATGCCCACTGACAGGAGAATAAATGGATGCATAAACACTGGTACATTCACACAAAGGAATATTACTCAGTAGTCAATATGAATGAACTGCCACATTGACACACAGGGATGAAACTTAGCGATAAAATATCAAGTGTAAAAAAAAAAGTTTTGGCTATTCGTGGTCATTTATGTTTCCATATGAATTTCTGTATTGTCATTTCCAGGTCTGAGAAAGAATGATGTTGGTAATTTAATGGAAATTGCATTGAATCTATAGATTGCCTCTGGTAGGATAGCCATTTTTTTTTTTCAGTTGGAGTATCACTCTGTCACCTAGGCTGGAGTACAGTGGCATGCTCACGGCCACTGTAGCCTCAATCTTCTGGGCTCAGGTGACCCTTCCACCTCAGCCTTTCAAGCAGCTGCAACTACAGGTGCGTGCCACCATGCCCAGCTAATTTTTTGATTTATTGTAGAGACAAAGTCTCGCCACATTGTCAAGGCTGGTCTTAAACCCGTGGGATCAAGCAATCCTCTCACCTTAGCCTCCCAAAGTGCTGGGATTATAGGCATAAGCCACTGTGCCCAGCTAGGATGGATATCTTTTATTTATTTATTTATTTATTTATTTGAGTTGGAGTCTCACTCTGTCACCCAGACTGAAGTGCGGTGGCTGCTCCTGGCCACCGCAGCCTCGACCTGCTGGGCTCTGGCGATCCTTCTGCCTCAGCCTTCCAGGTAGCTGGAACTACAGGCGCACACTACCACACCCGGCTAATTTTTTGATTTATTGTAGAGATGAGGTCTCACCAAGTTGTCCAGGCGGGTCTCGAACCCGCTGGGATGGATATCTTTACGATGTTGATTCTTCCTATCCATGAGCATTGAATATTTTTACATTTGTTTGTGTCTTCTTGGATTTCTTTGAGCAGTGTTTCGTAGTTTTCATTGTAAGGGTCGCCTCCCTGGTTAGGAAGATGCCAAGGTATTTCATTTTTTGGTGTGGCTATTGTGAATGAGATTGTGCTTTTTATTTGGTTCTTTTTCTGCTTATTGTTAGTGTATAAGAATGTGACTATCAGCCGGGTTCAGAGGCTCAGCCTGTAATCCTGCGCCTTGGGGAGGCTGAGGTGAGTGGATTGCCTGAGCTCGCGGGTTCGAGACCCGCCTGGGCAGCGAGACCTCATCTCTACAATAAATAAAAAAATCAGCCGGGCATGGTAGTGCATGCCTATAATTCTGGCTACTCGGAAGGCGGAGACGGAAGGATTGCCGGAGCCCAGCAGGTCGAGGCTGCGGTGGCCGGGAGCGGCCACTGCACTCCAGTCTGGGCGACAGAGTGAGACTCCAACTCAAAAAAAAAAGAATGTGACTATATTTCACACATTTATTTTGTACCCTGAGACTTTGCCAAAGTCCTTTATCAGTGAAAGCAGGTTTTTGACAGATTCTCTTGGATTTTCGAGGTATAGGATCATATCATTAGCAAAGAGGGATAACTTGACTTCCTTGACTTTGGATACCCCTGATTTCCTTCTCTTGTCTAACTGCTCTAACTAGAACTTCCAACACAATGTTGAACAAGAGGGGTGAGAGTGGGCTTCCTTATCTTGTTCCAGTTTTCAGAGGAAATGTTTCCAGTTTCTGTCCACTTAGCAATATGTTGGCTGTGGGTTTATTGTAGATGGTGCTTACTATTTTGAGGTATGTTCCTTCTATACCTAGTTGTTTGAGGGTTTTTATCAAGAAGGATGCTGGATTTTATCAAAAGCTTTTTCAGCATCTAATGATATAATCATGTGGTTCTTTGTTTTTACATCTGTTGATGTATGTAATTACATTTATGGTCTTGCAGATGTTAAACCAGATGTGTTTTTGGATTCGATTTACTAGAATCTTGCTAAGGATTTTTGCATCTATGTTCATAAGGGTTATTGGCCTGTAGTTCTCTTACTTGTTGGATCTTTACCCTGTTTGGGTATCAGTGTGATGTTAGTATCATAAAATGATTTGGGAAGAATTCCATCTTTCTCAATTGCCTGGAATACTTTCTTTTTTTTTGTTTTGTTTTTGTTTTTGAGTTGGAGTCTCACTCTGTCGCCCAGACTGGAGTGCAGTGGCCGCTCCCGGCCACCGCAGCCTCGACCTGCTGGGCTCCGGCGATCCTCATGCCTCAACCTTCCAAGTAGCCGGATTACAGGCATGTGCTACCATGCACAGCTGATTTTTTGATTTATTGTAGAGATGAGGTCTTGCTGCCCAGGCGGGTCTCGAGCCTGGCTGGAATACTTTCAATAGGATTAGTATCAGCTTCTCCTTGTACATTTTATAGAATTCTGCTAGAAAGTCATTCAGTCCAGGGCTTTTTTTGTAGGTAGTTTTCTTATGATGGAGTCAATTTCCTGGGTTGTTATTGGTCTGTTGTCTCAGTGTCTCCTTGTTTCAACCTTGGGAGGTTGTGTGATGTTAGAAAGTCCTCCA